GTGAACTAAATAATACCTTCTCAGCAAATCCTTCGCGATCACATGTAAACGGCATTTGATGCACAAGTCATGTCATGCTGTTTACCATATCTAAAAGAGTATCGTTCTTCACTGTAACAAAAAGTAGACAAAACGAAATGATGTACAAGGTTTAATTTGTTATGCCACAAATAATTTACTTTTAATACCACTGTCCGATATCATGATCAGTTCATGTTTGGCGGCCGAATAACCAGGTTGCATATTATTAATTTTTGGATTAACACCAACCTTTGAACCACCCATATATAAAGTAGCGTCCACTTGTGGATACTTAGTCATTAAGCTTTCAACAGTACTTACAGCTGGGTCCACACTATCTTCAATACAAAATAATAACTCATACTAAAACAAAAACAAATTGACAGATATTACCATAGATATAATCATAATTAAACATACCACTGGGTAATCCATTGTAAAAAATGATTCAAGGTTGTGTTCCAAGTTCGGATCGATGCCCATTAGTGGTTTCAATATAGAAACTGCAGGTAAAGGACTTTCATTGTGACATTTAGATGACTTCTTGTGGAGTTTAAATTTTCTGCAAAATTTAATGTAATTTGCATGTAGTTCTCTATATATAGTATGATTTATACTTTTTAATATTTACTTATCAGTGTATACAAGGGAAATTTAGGTTTTTTCCGAGCATTTAAGATTCGATAACGGTATCACTATGGGAAGAAATGAATTTCGAGATTTTTTTTTTTGTTTGTATTTGTTGGATATTTTTCATTTTCCATTACTCAGAAAAGTATAGATAATTAAGATTACTTTTAGAGGCTGGGTATGTACAACATTTTAGGTCTTAATATATGTATTTATATATTTTAATCACAAAAGGTTATATAATTAACTTTTAAACCTCAGTATAAAAGAAAATATTTTAATATTTAAAAATTACCCACATATGAAGTTTACTTCTTTTTGGGTTTATTATATATTTATTAAACAGATATTTTTAATTATTTGAAAATTAAAGTTTAAATAACATTTGCGAAAAATTCTAGCTCAACGTACGTACATATACTCAACGACGTACATATACTTACATTGACAATTAATGCTGCTAAGCATAACAACCCGCTCTTTCTTCAAAAAAAAAAAAAACTATGCTAAATCTTCTTCAGTAAAGGTTAGAAAGATACGTATAATTTACTCAAAAATCTGATTTCACAATTAACGCTACGCTAAAAAAAGGACTAGGTATGAAAAAAAATTAATAAATACCACATTCACTTAATTTTTGGAAGACAGTTTTAATATGAAGAAAATCTTAACTATTAACATCCCATTTCTTTTCAAACTGTTTCACGTATCCCAGTTTTAAATGTAGTGGTGGTAAGATAACAGTTTTTACCAATGGAAGACTTAAAACATTTTTCCTGCCTATATGATGAGACTCTCGAAACGGCCATACTTTGCGATCATAAAGATTGGAAACCCGATTATCCCATTCACGAGGATAGCAAGGATATTTTGTGTCGCCATCTTCCAGCCATGTAAAACTGTAAAACTTTTACGTCAGCAATGACTTTCCACGCATGGCAACCGAACAATTTTTTCCTTCATTTCATACGTTTCTTTCTTGTTAACCCTACAATCGATTGGAACTGATGGTAACAGATTTTCATTGTGAAATAACACAGCTTTTAAGAATAAGCGTAACATTACAAACTTTTTTTAGAAAGTACATACTTTTACACGATCCATTAATAAAAATTCGCCATTTATCTGCATTATAATTACAATGTACTACATAGGTCTCTGTCATTGCCATCAGTATTAAAACTTTCTCCGAGCAACAAAGCGCTGTCACATTTTCTACCCAATGTTATTTGAAAATATTTTTCCACCGAATTCCACTGTTTTTGTCGTGAACCGAAGATCTTCGTTTTGATAAATGTAAATCAAGCACGAGATCTGCGTAATCAGAATTTCCGATTATTTTGATTTACATGGAAGGAATTCTTCTTTATTAAATATGTCTCACCAATTTTTTTTTAATCCATCCTCATTGGATTCCCTTCAAAATGGTTCAGGCCGCTTCTCATTTCATGCATCGGTTTAGTCATCTATAACGAACAGACAAAAAACCTACTTATTTTTATACATAAGATGAATGAAAATAACATCACTGTAAAATGTTCGAAAATTGTCCGACGTGATATTTAGTTTCTTCCCACGGGTTTAACAATCTTCCTGTTATTTTGGGTCTTTATTGCGTTACTCTTTTAAATTTTTTTCGTTTTGCCTCGATTATTACCAAAACCGCAACAATTAAAAAATCTCAAAATTTTACTTTAGTAAGATTGGTCTTATGGAGAGGACACTCCTCCAGCCTAGCAGCGAAAGCATAACAAACCGGAGATGTCAAACCCGAACCGAAGAACTGATAAGGAAAATATTCGAATAACTGATCAGGTGTTTGTCACGCGTAAAATCTTGGAAAAACCAGTGAAGAGAGGATCGACATACAACACATCTTTTATAAGAGTGTGCAGAAAATATTCGAATAACTGATCAGGTGTTTGTCACGCGTAAAATCTTGGAAAAACCAGTGAAGAGAGGATCGACATACACCACATCTTTTACAAGAGTGTGCAGCTGCTGGCATATGCCGATGATATTGATATGACTGGACAAGGAAGCAAAGCAAATTGGTCTGGCAAAGAACGAGGGCAAGACGAAATGTCTCCTGCCATCAAACAAACAGTCGTCGCACAGGAGTTACATGTACGAATGCGTATGTAAAAACACCTGACAATGCATTTGACACATACGATGAACTGTTAAAGCAAATTGTAAAATAACACCATATCCGGCTTTTGCAATTTGCTTAAACAAATAAAGTAATCGAAATATAATTCAACAAGTGAATTTCTTAAGAATTATGGGAATTAATAAAGTATGCTCATTCAGCAAT